ATATTTGAGATATATATATATATGTGATTGTAGATAAGATTTTGTTGTACTACAGCATAGAAAGTAAATATAATTTGTTAATCAAGATAATTTTAAATCTATTACATTGTACGTACTATATATATATATAAATTCTTTCTTTTTTTACTAAAATTAAATATAAAACTGTATTATAATAATATTTTAATACCTTAATAGGATGGAAAATATACAATAAGAAGAAAAATGAGACTACGTCAATTATAATACCAATATATTTTTGCGATTCTTCAAATGCTTACTTTTTTGTTCCTACGTCCCATTGAAAATTTGGCAAGAGTCATTTCGTTCTCAAGTGTAACTTACAATCTATTCATTTGCAGGATGGGGGAAGTTGAATATTATTTACATAGGTCGGGCTGGGGGTGAGAGGGAGAGCCTTACAAGGATACAATTGGCACACGCACATGCATACCCACATATATATATCATATGCGCACGTACGTCATATTCACACATTCTTATACACAGGCAAAGTACCTACTGGATAAAGGAAATCTCGCTTTCTTTCTTTCTTTTCAGCTAAAAACATTGGAATTTACGATTTTTTTAAACGACACTGCTTACTTCATAATTTCCGTACCGTAGATACACAGAAAAAGAGAAAGAAAGAGAGAGATATTTATTTATTTATTTATTATTGGGGACAATTACCCACCCATCCCCATCCTTCATGAAGCTTAACAAAGAGTAATCTTAATTCGACGTGATCCTCGGTTTCTCTTTATCTCTATACTACGAAAGCATGATACACTCTAATTGGGTTCACGATATCTCATCATCGAACCTTCTTCTCAGTCAATTACATTATAATACATACGTTGAATGCTGAATTGACAAGCTTTTCAGATGGATGGAGTTGACTGTCGCACATATATGTATAAGAAAAATATCCAAAACTTCTCTCTGACCATAATTACTCCAGTTTGTTTCTTTTTTTCTGCTCTTCCTTTCTTTTATGATCAAGAAGTTATCTATTTTGGATACACAATTTGAATTTTTCTTTTTCTTTTTCTTTTTTTTTTTTGCAAATTATTGTACATACATGAAATATTATCTAGCATCTATTAAATACTATCCATAAATAATTCGAACGTTCCCCCATTCGATTTTTATGAATAATACTTTTAATGCCGCATTGCAGATCTTTTTAATTTTTTTTCTGCTACGAATGTTCAACGTCTTTCTTTCTCTTTTTTTTCTTTATTACAAAAAAAGAAAGATCATTTTAACGAACACCTATTGTGTTATGCCAATGAGATGATCTCTCGTTAATGTTCTGATATCAACGAGGAGACATGATATTTATCATTTATATTATTTAAATTTAATTTAATTTCTTTATCTTCTTTTCCCATTAAATACGCATATACGCGCACTTTTATCTATGTACGTTAATCTGTACGTTTCTATATTTATATATTTATATATTTATGTATATATTTATATA